TTCTCTGACCTGACTCACTCTGCCCCAGACACACGGGCCCCCTTGCAATCCTGCTGTGCTGCTCCGGGGCCTTTGAACTTGCTTTGCCCTCTACCTGAAATTCTCTTCTCTCAAATGTCCATCTCAGGATCTCACCTCCTTTGCTTTTACTCAAATTCCATCTTCTCAGTGAGGCCCTCCCTCAGCCCTGTCTGAAATTGCAATGCCTTGAACGTACCCCATCTCTTTCCCCTGTTTTATACTTCCCAGCATGCAAGAGGGTCTAATAACATATATTTCACTAATATTGGGTTGTTTTGTTGTTGTTGTTTTTGTTTTTTACTATCTCTCTCCCCATTAGAAAGAATGACAGTCCCAAGGGAACAGAGATTTTCCTCTGTTTGCTGATGTATCTGTAGGTTATGGAACAGTCACCTACAGGCAACAACGCTTGATCAGGGCTTGTAATGTAAAGGAACGAATGAATGACACCCCCTCACATGGTGTTTATAACCTCATATTGGACTAGTATCTCTAAAAGGAATTCTAAAACGTAGATGCCACTTAAATATGTATTTGTTTTTCATACAAAGGTTAGATTCCACTTTGGTTTTTAATCCACTTAATTGCTGATGTTTGAGCAAGTGTGAGATAAGTTTGTGCATCAATCGTCAAAACAGAGATTTGTATTGACGATGGTCTTTTAAAAGAATTAAATTAGAATTCAGAGAGAACACAGGGAGATCCATTGTCACATGGATTGAGAGTGACAATCACCACCCCCATCTCATTACTCCAGTGCACGGGGAGGGCTGTTCTAACTGACCACTGACAGCTGTGATCTGTCAGTGGTCAGGACTGTAATGGCTCCAGTGCCTGCATTAATAAAAGATGAACTTGGGGTATTATGTAACTTCTAAATTACTTAAAACCCATGGGATTATTTTCAGAAAAATCACATTTACCATCTGAGTGTCTACCAACATATTAATAGGTGTTAATATCCAAACCCCAGCACAAGTGGAAATCTTTTTTTTTTTTTTTGAGACAAAGTCTCACTATGTCCCCCTCAGTAGAATGCCATGGTGTCACAGCTCACAGCAACCTCAAACTCTTGGGCTTAAGCGATTCTCTTGTCTCAGCCTCCCAAGTAGCTGGAACTACAGGTACCCACCACAACACTGGGCTATTTTTTTGTTAGAGTTGTCATTTTTGTTCTAGCTGGCCTGGGCTGGGCTAGAACCCTCCAGCCCTAGTGTATGTGGCTGACGCCCTAACCTCTGAACTATGGGTGCTGAGCCACAAGTAGAACTCTTTACATCTTTCTTTCATTATTTCAAATAAAGTTATTGCATGGCACAAATTAGATACAGCTCCATATTAAAATTTTACGTTTATTTGAAGAATAACATTTCCACTAGAGAGCGTCTGCATAAGTACAGAACATCAACTTTACAAAGGAGTCTTGTGACAAAATCCAGAGAGAATGAAGGAAGACATCACTTTAGCGCTCTTAAAAATGCTTTGGTTATTCGTGTTCATTGAATGCATAAATCTAAAAGCATCCGTCGTCACT